TGACTAAAACCTCTGTTTTGTCCTGGTTGAGCTGCAGGAAATTCACTGCCATCCATGACTTTATATCTAAAATGCAGTTAAAAAGGGCATCAATTGGCCCTGTGTCATCAGGAGACACGGCGATGTACAGTTGCGTATCATCAGCATAACTATGAAAGCTGATGCCGTGCCTCCTGATGACGTCCCCCAGAGGAAGCATGTAGAGATTAAAAAGAGTTGGACCTAAAATTGACCCCTGGGGACCCCACACTTTATCTCATGGGTTCCTGAGGAACATGTATCCAGACTTAGAAAGAAGTGTCGATCAGTAAGGTAAGAGACGAACCAGTTAAAAACAGTACCAGAGAGGCTGACCAGGTGCCTCAGTCTATTTAATAAAATGTGATGGTCTACTGTATCGAAGGCGGCGGTTAGATCCAGTAGTACCAAGACTGTGAGTTTATGGTTATCTAAATTGCACCTGATGTCGTTTAAAATCTTTAAAAGGGCTGTCTCGGTACTGTGGTTCATCCTAAAACCAGACTGATACTTCTCTAAAGTGTTATTTGTATTTAAAAAATCATTTACTTGGTTAAAAACCAGTTTCTCTAAAATTTTGCTTAAAATGGTAAGTTGGATACAGGTCGATAATTATTAAAAAGGTTGGGGTCTAAATTGCTCTTCTTCAGAAGGGGCCTCACCACTGCCTTTTTCAAGGAGGCCTGGAAGTCACCTGTCTGAAGAGAGCAATTCATCATGTACAGTATCTGTTTCTCAAAGAATCCATAAAATGTTTTAAAAAATGGTGTGGGAATTGGGTCTAAAAGGCAGGTTGTGGGCTTTACTTGGGAGAAAACTCGGCCAAGTGTCCTCGCATCAACCAGGGCAAAACTCTCCAGTGTTTCCTCAGGTAAAAGCAATGATCCAGGTGTGTCCACAGTTAAAATCTGTTGCGATAAAAGACTGGATCTGATGTCATTGATTTTACTTCTGAAGTGGTCTGCAAAGTCCTCACAAAGGGCATTGGTTGTTGTCTTAGGTGATCTGTTAAAATTATTGTTTGTTAAAATATCAATTGTGGAGAAGAGGAATTTGGGATTGTTTTTATTGTCAGAGATTAGTTTTTTGAAGTGGGAAATTCTTGCCTGTTTGACTGCGTTATTGTAGGTTTTGAGATGTTGACGTAATATTTCGTAGTGGACTGTTAGGTTTGATTTTCTCCATCTTCTCTCAGCACTCCTGCAGTATCTTTTCAGTTGTTTGATTTCCTGATTTCTCCATGGGGGAGTAGGTTTTGTTCTAATTGTTTTGATTAAAAGTGGAGCCACTGAGTCCAGCGTTGACTTGAGTTTGTTGTTAAAATTGTCCACAATAAAATCACAGGGTGCTGGTAAAATCTCTGCAGGAGTACTCTGTAAATCTGGATAAAATTTGCAGCCACTTCAGAAGTTAGGTAGCGTTTCCTCACTGTTCTCACCGGGGCCTCCTGTTGGTTAAAACTGGTGATGTTAAAAAACACACAAAAGTGGTCGGACACAGCCAGATCCACAACAGAGGACATACCGACGGACAGGCCATAGGTTATGACCAGGTCCAGGGTGTGCCCTCTGCTGTGGGTCGGCTGCGTGATATGTTGTTTAAAATCCAAACAGTTTAAGAGGTTTAAAAATTCTCTGGATACTGGGTCCGAGGTGTTGTCAATGTGTAGATTAAAATCACCAGTTATTAAAATCCTGTTGTAGGTGGAGTGAATGATTGATAATAATTCAGAGAAATCACTGATTAAAGAAGTGGAGTACTGGGGTGGTCTGTAAACTGTTATGCAAAGGATAGGAGGGCTGCTATAAACAAAGGCATGATGCTCAAATGACGTGTAACTGCTAAAAGAAACTTCATTTGAGGACATTGTGGTTTTTGTTACTGATGCAGTTCCGCCTCCTCTTTTACCTCCCCTAATAGAATATAAAAAGTTAAAATTTGGTTGGCGCCAAGCCATGTCTCTGTAAGGAGAATACTGTCTAGGTTACTGTCTAAAATTAAATCATTTATGATAAAAGATTTGTTTAAAAGGGAGTGCACGTTCAGCACTGCCATTTTAATGTTTGTGCTGAACGTGTGCTCTTCATGACTTTTCAAATGGATGTTAAAAACACGGTTAGGTCTAAAAACATTCCTGATTTTTAACTTTCTAAGTCTAATGATAGTTTTTATGGTGTGAATGTCCTGTGTTTCCGGTTGCAGAGAAGGTGCTACTGAGGGAGAAGTGTGTCTGGTGCAATGTGTAGTGGAGGAGGGTGGAGGTGGGTGAGCAGTAAGTCAGGAGGTGGCTGTGGTGCAGGATCGGACGGTCAGGTCAGTGTTGACTGATAAAAGCCGTGATCCCTCCTGGTTTGGGTGGAGGCCGTCCAGAAGGCAAACTTCATCTGAGAACAGAACTAGAACTGGAAGCAAAGGCTCATCCAGTTATACCTTATTCCCATGGCATGGTTCAGCTCGACTCACTTTTGGTTCTAGGTTCTTTTCTGTGTTTAAGTTTCCACTGCAAAGAATTTTGGTCTGTATTTATGGTAGCTTGGATGTTTAAAACTAGCGGGCTTTTGCAGCATGTGCCATCTTGCCTAAGTGATGATTCTAGTGACAATTCCCTCTGACCTGTCTGCAGTGTAACTCCACCTTATTGGCTCAGCTGGCTTGAAACCTCAACCGAAGTGGTCCTTGAAAAAGTACCTGTCACTACCCCAACCTGTTCTCATTCTGACCTTGTCAAATGCCGCCGCTTTGTCAGTGATCTGGACGTTAGATACTGATGCAAAAAAGCACCTTTTACGGTGGTATAATACGGCGGCAGTTGTTGATGCAGTGGCACCAACTGAAGTCATCAAATAGCAGTGCTATGTCAGTGGACGTCTAAAAGCCAAAAAGCGCAGTTCCTCTAATGGCCACTTGAGGCTGGGTCCGAAAGCCAATCTCCATCATAGACTGTAAAAATAATGGACGCAACCAGTGGATTGCCCGCTCTGGGTTGGGAGAGAGCTGCTGCCTCAAGCGAGGGAGTTCAAGTATCTCAGAGTCTTGTTCACGAGTGAGGGTAGAATGGAGCGTGAGATGGAACGGCGGCTTGGTGCAGTTTGGGTTTTTGGAGCCAGAGATGACCAAATCTAGGCGAGAGGGTGGATCTGACTGAGGTCAACGAAACTATAAGCAGACAGCCAGTCACTCAAAGCAGCCTGCCCTTAATCATGCATAACTTTAAGCCTTAATAAAATGTAAATAGGTGAGTTATATAAAAATTCACTCCCCCATAGAGTTGTCATGAAGGGGTAAGTGCCATCCCTTTATTTCTAGTGCTATGTGTTGTGACCCTCCAACACTGCAGCTCCAATTGTGCTGTGCATAGCTCCCATGGGACCCCTGCGACCCCTGTGTCCAGCTTTCTCTGAAAAGCCTTGACACCTGGTTAATGGAGCCGGAGGTCATTAAGGAATTGGAAGCAGATGGCCAGTGTCTCCTGGTTGCTTAAAACCCACCCTGTGGTCATCTTTGATGGACTTCTTCTTCCTGGTGAAGTCATGTTGTGTTTGAAGTTCTTTTGCTTTTCTGCAGTTCATTTTTGCATCATTCTGGCTTTCTGCCAGCATCCTCTGTCAGCTTCAAAATCATTGCATTTGTTGAAATGTAACTGATGCTTTATAATGTTATTACAATAATACAGTTAAACATGCAGTATACATGATGTCTATTTTGTCATGTACACTAATTTCAATACAGCACATTTAGGATAGAAAATAAATAAACTGTCAGTAACTAAAGACAATAAAAATATTATTAAATGTTGAAATAAATAGATGGTCTAAATTTTGATTTTGGTTTATTTCATATTTTATTTTTATAATTTACTTTAATTTATTTCTGTATTTCTGCATCATTTGTATTTCCACATTTCTGCATTAATTTATTTCTGCACGTCTTCATTAATAATCTCTGTGTCTGTAGTTTAATGATGTGGGTGGTGCTAACCTCACTTGAAAGCAGGACTGATCAGCTGGGCAAGCTCTTGAAACCAATCCTGCTTCACAGAGATGTAATTACAAGCTACTACCTTATTATCATACACACAGAAGTCGCCTTGTGGTGACACAGTAACTTCAGTCTGACGCAAATGACAGGGAATGTAATTCAGTTTAAAATGTTTAGTGAAAAGTTAAAATTACACTGAGTCACACGGTAAAAATACAGGGTGCTCCTGTGCCTAATGCAGCTCTCTGCTCAACTAACCTGCACATAAATTATGAAATTAAAGGGAGCAACATTCTCAAAATTCAACATAGCCTACATGCATTTTGTCTTTTTACATTTTTATACATTACCTATATTTTATACAATGTCTGGAAATTATTTTTGCATGATATTTAAATGTACTTATATCCATACACTGTGGCTCTTACAAGCCGAAATAAAGAATAAAGATGTGGAAACCCATGAATAAATAACTGTAAATGTAGGCCTAAAGAAATGTAGAGATAAAGTGAAGACACTTTTTCTTACATCCTGACTGAACACCAACACTTTATTTATGTACTTGTTACTTTATTTCAGCATTTAGTTATAAAGATATTGTTTTATTTATTAACTGAAGTATGTATTTATTTTTGTATTTATCTCATAAGTTTTTGCACACTACATGTGTGCGACCACAGAGCTGTGAACAATGGGACTGTGTTTGCCTTCTGGCAGGTCAAGTGGACACCTAACAGCTAGTTAGCTGTCCATATGGGCCAAGCGTCTATGTTGACTTACAGACTGACCCAGATTATCTTTGCTGGAGGATTAGAGCAATGTCCCTGAGGAAGAGGAAGAGGAGGACGTCCCGTATGGGCTGTATTTGTGTTGTAAAGCTCCTGCAACTTTTCAGGTAACATTTTTTTTTACTGTCTCCTAGCTGGTTTTTACAACAGGGGTGTATGTTCCTAATACCTGTGGTGTCATGTCAGTGGACTGTAGGCTAGCTGCTAATGCTAGGTGTACATTAGCCCTGTCTGCTAGATATACAGTAGATGTTCAGGTTTTCCAGGGGCATTTTTCTAAAGGTTTAGTCAAAATGTCAATGAAAGAAAAAGAAAGAAAACAGTAGCTGCCACAGCTGCAGCAGAAGACTCACTGTCCTTCAAAGTTTACAAATTGCCATGGCAACAGGTCCCGCTCTGTGATAAATTATGACGTTAGCTGTCCCATGTGGTAAGGCTGATTATAATCACTGCATTTTAATTGGTTTGCTGTTGGCATTATTTTACCACAAGGCAGTTAACCAACTATTGTTACTGAAGGAGCAACCTGGCTAATATTGAATCTCAGAGAATTTTAGTGGCAGTTTTTAGGTAGCTGTACCTGAGTGTCATCAACCCGAACAGGGCTTCACAGCGGTGCCGTGCTAGCAATGTTATGTCATGCAACCATATTGTTGTTTGTTTGTTTTAGACATACAAGAAAATAGATAAATCAATAATGAAAGTATTTCTGAGCTGCACCTTTAAACAACAGTGAAAAGTCCCATCAATATACAGCAGCATTTTGCAGCTAAGGTTCACAACTAACCATTTATCAAGTAATGTTTTAAGCAATGCTGTTTGGTTGTGTAGAGTTCTACAGCACCTCTACTCTTATTCTTTGTGCTTGGTATGTAACATGATATATCATTGTCTTTTCTCAACAGGACACATTTCCCCTGCTGACTATAATGCCTTCCACAAAGAGCTCTAATCACTGGACGTTATCAGAGTTCATTGGGCAGCGGAGGCTTTTAGGACTCGGAGCTCTGCTGGCATGGCTCGTCCTCTTCCATCTCCTTGTGAACGTCTGGCTCCTCTGCATCTTCACCAGTCTCTTGGTGGTTCTGGGGGGTTGGCTCGGGTCCCGTGCCTTACTGGACGCAAACAGCCTTCTCCACTTGGAGCACTTTTTGCCTCTTGGCAAAGTTAACCCACCCCTGAATTCACCTGAACATGAGTGGAGGTTGAACCACGAGATCAACAGTGTTGTCCACAAAGCGGTGCGTGATTTTGTGTCCTCGTGGTATCGCACTTTGCTGCCAGGGGTGGAGGGGGAGTTTGAGCGTTCGGTGTGTGATTCGATGCTGGAGTCAGTGATGGAGCTGAAGGAGCGTGCACGGCGAGTGGACAGAAAAGCACTGGTTCAACGGCTGCTAGAGCTGTACGGCTGTCACCTGCAGAGCTACATGACGGCAAGACAAATACAGTTGACACAAAAGGAGAGAATCAGCCTCTGGCAGCTGTACAGTGAAGTAGATGCCCCTCATCCAGCTGTGAGCAATGCAGTTGCTGAGCTCAGCTACTCAAGAGCTCTGGTAAACCTCGTCTTACATGTGCTTGTTCCATACCCTCAGATGGAAACCAGGACAGGAGGCTACATGGTTACAGAACTCATCACCTGCAACGTGCTGTTGCCGCTTATAAGCAGGGTGTCTGATCCCGACTGGCTCAACCAGACCATTGTAGACATAATCACCAGGTCCAGAGAACCACAGGAAATCAGTGTGGATGAACTCCCAGCTGCAGCCTCACTATATGGATGTCAGATCCTGCAGGAGTCCTGGACCACCTGCAGGTCCCTCTCTTCTTCTGATCACCCTACCAGCAGAAGCACCTCTGACCTTGATGATCTGCAGAGCCAGAAAACCATGTGTGAGAGGGATTCCTCACAGAGCAGCATGGTTAGCCTGACGTCTGCTGGGAAAGTAGAAGGCTGTGACGCAGGTTTGCTCACACCTTGCAAAGTGAACTGCTGTGCATTCCCGTCTGGCCACTACTCCCACTCATCAGAGCCCAAAATAATTTCACTTGACTCTCTAATTCCATCAGACTCTGAAGATGACCTGACAGGAGGCTTTTGCGAATGTGGTCCTCCAACAAACTTCTGCAATGTCATAAATTTAAAGGGTGATGAGGCATTCGGCTGCTTTGGTCCTTTGAAAAATCTTGGGCCAAAGGTTGTGGTGCCTGAGGACTCCCAGTGGCCAGCAGGTATGGCCCAGGAGAAATCCCCAACTTGTTCTCCAAGAAGAGTTTGTCTAACCTCATGCAACTTTGATACCTCCAGTAACCAAGCTACACCTGTCAACATCCAGAACGTGCAAATTTCTGGCACTGTCACTGCGAAGGAGCAACGTGGCACAGGCACACATCCCTATACTCTCTACACCGTAAAGGTACTGCCACCTCCTACTCTCTTATGTTTAATATCAGTTACCACACACTGACCTCCACTTTCTGTTTTACAGTTTGAGACGATGGCTGAAAACGGCGGTACTCTGCAACCTGTGTCCTGTCACACTGTCAACCGGAGATACAGCGAGTTCCTCAACTTGCAAACACGTTTGGAGGAGAGGCCTGAAGTCAAGAAAGTAATCAAGAGTAAGAAATGATCATCCCCTTTAATTGACCATTGAACTGCATACCAACACAGATGCATTATTGAAAATCAATGTGATGGATTTTCAGATGTCAAAGGCCCAAAGAAAATGTTCCCTGACCTTTCGTTTGGCAGTGCAGACAGCGACAAGGTTGAAGCCCGTAAAAACCAACTGGATACATTCCTTAAAGTAAGTACAAGATCATAACTTCAGTTCAGTCAGGACTACTTTAGTCATGGAAAACTTTATTTCCATTTCCAGTATTATATTTGCTGGTACGGCTCTATTCTGGGGCCTCTGCCTTTCTTCTTGGGCCTATATAGAAAACCTGATGTGGAGAGAGCAAACCTCCCTGCCCTTCCATGCGCCTTCATGGAAAGTCTGAGGCAGGGAGAGCAGCATCAATGACAAACAGAAATGACACTCATAAGTAAAACACAGCATGAAAAGGAGGAGCTGGGGTGGACGTGGGTTGCACAGTGGCTTGCAGAGGAAGCAGCAACAGTAGGCAGGCCAGAGCAGTTTAAATAGGGCGTCCTGAATGAGATTCGCCAATTGGTTGCATAGAAAGGAATCATGTGATCTATCAGCTGACTCCCTTCTATCAATCAGCTGCTCCATTGGTTGATTGGGCTGCTTGAGATCAGCTGATGTAGCTGGGATGTGAGCTGAGCTTGACGTTGTGTCCTGCCTGAGCTAATGCTATGCTCAGTTAATGAGATGACTTTTGTGAGTCTGTAATTTGATTGATTTTTGTCCTTCTCTAGCAATTAAGCAGCATTCCTGAAACATCAAACAATGAGGACATGCAGGAGTTCCTGGCTCTTAACTCTGATGTTTGTACATATTTTGGAAGACGGCCTTTTGTCAAGTCAAGAATTGATAAGGTGAGAAAGAATCTTCATACTGTAGGTTTTGTGAGGACACTGATAAAATTGATTGATAGAATAAGATCAAAACGTGTCCATGTGGTAAAATCATAGACATAGAGAAAAAGATTGTTTCACAACTATTTAAATTCATTCATTTGTTTATTTACTTTCTGTAATTGCTTATCATGCTGGGGGTCGCTGGGGGACTGGAGCCTTTTCCAGCTGACATTGGGTGAGAGGCGTGGGACACCCTGGACAGGTCGCCACGCTATCACTTAACCTGCATGTCTTTGGACTGTGGGAGGAAGCCGGAGTACCTGGAGAAAATGACCTTGTCAAATTAAATTGAAACTCAAAGTAGCTCAAATCTATTGGCCCTATCAGCCTGGTCTGATGATGATGTCAGCCAGTTGGTCTGCTCTGCCAACAATTTGTGTTTCAGAAAAAAAAATAAAAAATCTTATCAGTATCGGGCCAAAGGTTAATGAAATATACTCACAGTCCCCAGACAATGAATCCTTTTGGTGACCTCCTGACTTTTCATTTAGGGTCATCATCACACAAAAAACTCTACAACACATAAAGATGAAAAACTATTCATGCTCACATTCACACCTAAGGGCAATTTTTAGAGTCAGCAATTAACCTGCATGTCTTTGGACTGTGGGAAGAAGCTGGAGTAGCCGGTGAAAACCCATGCTTACAAGGGGGAGAACATGCAGACTCTGCACAGGGGGGCTCCCGTACCCTGGGGTTTCAACCAGGATCACTCTTGCTGTGAGGTGACAATGCTAACCACTGCTTCACTGTGCCGCCACCTTTTTTATTTATGTTTTGTACTGAGTTTCATGATGACCCGATCAAGACCACAGGCCAAAACACATTGGTCTTTAAAGATATTTGTTTTATGTACTTAAAGTGTTTTGAGATAAATCTAATCAGAGAGTCTAAAGGTAACAGTTTTTGCCTTCCAGGGTCTCTAAAGCTCGCTAATAAACACTATAGATTCAATGAAAAGTGAGAGCTACTTTAGGGGAATATAATAATCTCTTGTCTTCTCCACCTTGATTGCCATTAAAGATGGTGGAAAATGCTTTAGACACCTTGAAGACGGCTTTCCCTCATCCTGAGCCCCTCAGTCCGACGGAGGACCTTGAGGGAGACGCTGATGGAAGAACAATGGACAGCAGAAAGTACAGGTGAGTGCTCTGTAGCAGGCCAGTGCCTTTGTTCCCAAAATGTCTGCCATGTGACTTTTTGACAACAAAACAGTGTCCACTTGTGACCCCGAATGACAAGTTGTGACCAGATCAATCAAAAAGCACTTTACCCTCATAGACTGAGTCGCTTGAAACAAATCTCAGAGGCTTTAAGAGATAACATTATACAGGGGTTTACAAGGAAGAGCAAAGGCTAGAGAACATTTTGATATAGATCTGTTTTATTTTGTGTAGCAGGAATGTTGTTCTTTGTGTCTTATTGATTTACAATGTTTATTTTATGACCTCTAATCCATGGGTCTGTCTCACAGAGAGGATAATCAAATAAAACAAACAGTGCAATTCAATTAAAAAATTACAACACTTAGATACACATTGAATGATCTTGTTCCTCTGGTATTCTTGTGAATTTGTGAGTGTTTTGCTTCTGGATTTCAGGAGGCTTATGTTCCCAAGCAAAGTTTCCCCATCTCTGAATATACCTGACATACACCCTAAAGTGACCTACTGCTTCAGTGAAGGCAGCTCTGTAAGTTACCATGCTGTATTTACCGTGTCCGACTGACAAATGTGTGTCTTAAACGGGACACAGCTGACATTTTTGCTCTGCTAATCATAGGTCCTCAATGGCATGTCACTGTCTAGCCTGGAGGGCTTTGTCAAACAGCAGGAAAGACTTTTATGTGAGTCGAATGGGAAGGAGACGGCCAAGCAGAGCTGTGAGCAGCCCGGCAAAGACAAGAAGACTTCAGGGAAAAGTCACGGGACAGGTTGAGATTTACACAACAGTCTTGTCTCATACCCAGTGTTGGGAGGGTTACTTTGAAAACATATTTTACTACAGATTACTGAGTACATGCCCTGAAATGTAATTAGTAACATATTTCACTAGATTACTCAAACTAACTATTCTAAATACTTTTGATTACTTTTGCAGTACTTCAAAATCATTTTGCTGAAGTTATTTGCCTGGGTCTTATATTTTCGTGCCAAAATAACATGACAGTGTCCTGGCTGTCCATCTCCTCTGCCAGTGTCTTGTCGTGGATATGCTGCACACACTTTTTAAAGGATCTGTTTAGGGCACAGGTGTCAAACTCATTTTAATTCATGGACTGCATACAGTCCAATTTGATTGCAGGTGGGTCAGACCAGTAAAACCATTGCATCATATCCTATAAATAACAAACACCTCCATTTTTTTTTTTAACCTTTCTTTTGTTTAAAGAAGTGCATTTTAAAAACACTCATCCTTCCACAAAACAGATGACAAACAACTTGTGATGTCTTCAGAAGAATAAATGCAATTTCACAGTATTTCAGTTTTCCCACATTCAGTCAGTTGACTACTCACTGTCATTACATGTGCATTTTTCTGTACATTTCCACTATTGTGTAGTAATCCTGACATCACACAAAACTAAAAATCTGAAGATGTATGTTCTGGTGAGGGTGGAAAAGCCTCTGAAGCAGAATTTTACATAACAAAACTCTCAGTATTTAACTTGCTCCTGAAACCTGGCACCTCTTAGCCTTCACAAGTGCATCAAGTGCGCATAGGTGGGCCGGATTGAACCCACTGATGGACCAGTTCTGGCCCCCAGGCCATATGTTTGACACCCCTGCTTTATGGGATATGCGTGTGTCTTAACACCAAGCTAGCTTTACTCTCTGTCCACAGTGAATCTGTAAAAAATGTGCTTCTTTGTCATCATGTAAACAAACAATGTAAGCTACCTGTCAGCTGTGTACTCAGCTGGAGACAGGAGCGCTTAAAAGAGGGGAGAATGCTTTTTATCTTTCTACATTTGTACTTTTTAAGCAGAAAACACACATTTTATATAATAAAATTAACTGGAAATGATATACATTATAGCTAACAGCAGATAGATTGTTTTTAGTGATGGTCATTTACTAGAAACTTTCAGCTCCCTGGCACTCTTCCTCCAACTAGCTGACACCTTATTGAGGTGTTTTTCAAAGAGAGCAAAAGGAATAACTAACTTGAGGTCCCTCTCACCCTTAAAGGCGTAAAATGGTTGAATCTGTCTCAGCACTAGGATTCATCTCTAAACAAAAAAAAAAAGAGCAGAGTTCGTGACTTTTATGCTACTGGAGCACTGATGTACAGTCATGTCTTTTCCCAAGAAATGAAATCAGGGTTCCAAAAAAAAAAGAAGAGAAAGAAAGAGAGAGAGGTTTTTTTTGAGTTTTTAAACAAAATTATTCTTCATTTACAATAGTTTGCAACAAAGACAAACACAGAGTAGAATACAGATCAAAAATAAATAAATAAAATAAATAAGTTCACTTTGATTAAAGCAACACATAACAAAAGTGATTTCCAAGTCTTTTAAAGAGAAAAGCAAGCCTTCATAATCCCATACGTCTCAAAAAGCATCCAAATCCTCCATCTGACATATTATTTATATTCTAATAGTACTCGTGCTCTAAGTAGACTCTTGAAAGCAAGTAAAGAATCACACCTCTGCCCTCTTTCCATTTTCTGTTTCCTACTTAAGATCAGATAAGATACACCTTTATTGATCCCACAGTTGGGAAATTCCAAAAAGGTGCAAGTCGGAGTCAAACATGTGACCACTGCAGCGAGGCATCACCTCTGTTCTGTGGGGCGCCAGCACTATCCACTACGCTACTGACTTAAAGAATTTTTTTTTTTTTTTTTTAAGATATTTTTTGGGGCATTTTTAGCCTTTAATGGACAGGACAGACAAGCATGAGGGGGGGGAGAGAGAGGAGGAGTGACATGCAGCAAATGGCCACAGGCGGCTGGAGTCGAACCCGGGCTGCGCCCCAGCCTTGTGCATGGGGCGCTTGCTCTACCACCAAGCCACAGACGCCCCCCGACTTAAATAAACTGCCAACTTTGCTGGACACAAAAGAAAGTTCAACAGTCCATTGAGAGAGAAAGAAAGAAAGACAGGAAGAAAGAAAACTGACTGTAAAAATAAAAAGGTGTATGAGAGAGACAGGGATCAAGAGGGGAGGGTGAGGGCCCGCAGTGACTGCATATGCATAGGGTCCAGAAGTTGGTGCTGATAGTGTGTGACTAAAAACTCACATTGTTTTTAGATTTGAGTTCAGAATGTAGTCTTTTAAAAGTATTTTAAAGTCTTCTAATGTATGGTAGTTAGTTTTTTCCCAATGTCAATACGAAGTGTCTCATTCTTGGCAGTGCTGCAGAATCAACATGCAGTAATGCAGCTTCACCACTTGGGTGCAGCAAAACTCCACTGTTAGTTTAGACATTCAGAATATTTCCAGTTGTCACTTTCCAACATTGATGTGCTTTTTCTGTACAGCATGTCTTATGTGTTTTGAGGTGTCCCATCATTGTGTTGCTGTGACTTCACTGTGTTTGTTGCTGTGTGCTGCAGACACAGCTGTGGCAGATGTTGCTTTGAACATTTTGTGTCTGCTGATGAGGGACCAGTGGAGTTGGCTGTGCACTGAGAACATACAGAAGACCATCAGACTGCTCTTTGGCACCTTCATCGAGAGGTAGGAGTTTCCCTCAGTTCACTGCACATACAGCTGTCACATGTAAGTAAGTCAGTGTGTGGCAGTTACACGCTCGCTGCAGCTGATCCTACTACTGACTGTAGACCTACTTTCCTTGCAGATGCCATAGTTGCACATATTATTTTTCCTTCATACAACTGAACAGACAGATGCTGGGTCATTTTCTACAATATGAGGCACTCAGAGGTTTGTGGCATGCGCCTGCTGCATGACCTTCTCTCAGATTGCTTGTCTTTCTGTAAATGCAATGTTTAAGCCTCACTGGGGCTCTAGAATTACCTCTGGACGAGTTTTTACCACACAGTCTGTGGGAACTGTGCTTGTCTAATCTCTTGTGTCCTGCTGTCATTAACTGATTATACAGGCCTCTATTTTTGGACATGACATATGCCTCTGGGAGTTTTAGGGTTCACTAAGCATGTCAGTAAAATGTTCATGCTCCTGCAGAGGTTTATACAGATTTAAAAATGCTTGTTTGTCTTGCTTTCCCCTGTGTGCATGTCTTTCATTCCCCGCTCACCACTCAAAGCATGTTTGCATGTACAGGATGTGCTTTTATTCCAACTTCTTTGTTCTATTCAGTGGCTGATATCTTGTCAAGAAAGCTTACGCATTAAACTACTGATTCTGTCCCAGATGGTTGGATGTAGGAGTTGCCCATCTTACCAGTGCCCCCTGCTGGGTGATTTACCTCCAAGTGCTGCAGGAAGCTGTATGGCCAGGCGGCACACTGCCTGCTCAACCTCGGCCAGAGCGGAGTGCCGCAGAAAGAGAGGAAACCAAGGAGCAGTGTCTGGACTGTTTAATGCAGCTGCTCCCAGGTATGAGACAGCTGTTAGATTCACTTTGTAGCTGGCTGATTTTTTGGAGGCTCCTGAAGCTACGTTGTCCTTTGTGCCTGAACAGAGCTCATCACTGACATGCTGGGAAGTGAGAAGTACAGACTGAGCTTAGAGACCATGCTGGAGTCTTTACAGGACCACCAGATAAACAAGTGAGTCAACGAACAAACTGTCGAGTAAACACACATCTGAGTCTACTGTTTTACGATGACTGCATTCAGGAGCTCAGAAAGTGAATCAGTAATGTGTTCAGCTGCAGTGTGAATTTCTCTGGTTATCGTCTACAATCAGATGTGTGGACTAGAGTCACAAATTTGATGACATTAAACTCAATTAAACAAAATCAAAAGAGACTTGACTTGCAACTTGACTTGGACTTAAACACCAGTGACTCGTGACTTCACTTGGAGACTTGAGCCTTTTGACTTAACACCTTCCCCCAAGCAAACAAGAGTGCCATGACTGATGAGATCCGTTAATTTCTCTTAATTTCCTTAATCAGCCAACATTAACACTGTTCATTCCCAGCAAGTTGACACTTAATTCCCCAGATCCACTTTGTTTGAACCAATCTGTCAGCATCCAATCAAGTTGCAGGAGAGAGCCACAAAGTGCTAATTTAATTTGGAGTTGGTGGTCAACAAAAAATGAAATGCAGTACGCAAAACATGCGGATAGAAAATTACAGACAGAGACACAACAACTTCCAACAAACTTGTTTTAACAAGTAAGTGCAAATGATAAAAAGCAATAATGATTTTTGTTAATTTAATATATTATTAGTCTGTTGTTAAAATAGCATTACATTTAGTAAAGAGTGCAATATGACTTGGGACTTTGGGACTTGAAACTCAATGTGTAGGACTTGGGAATTGACTTGGGACTCAGGTACAAAGACTTCAGACTCACTTGTGACTTGACTTGTGTTACTTGGTCCCACCTCTGTCTATAATACACTAAATTGTATAACTACAAGGGGTGTAACCAAGTGGCAGCCTCAGAGGCTGAAAAATGAAGTCAACGTGGAAGTACCAAAAACTGCAGTTCCTTTAATGACCACTTGAGGCTGGCTCCAAAACAGGCTTAATTCCCACAAACCCCCATGTTGAAATGTCAAACTTCACAGAAAAAATAAACATGTTTGCAGCCTGGTATAAAAACAGTTTTGGTGTCTATAGGTAATTTCAACGTTAATGACAACTGTGTAGGGGGTGATTTTTTTTTTTTTTTTATAAGTCACCAATACATTTTATTAAGGCCCAAAGTTACACATAAGGGCAGGCGGCTTTGAGTGACAGGCTATCTGCCAATTGTGTCCTCAGCTTCTCAGTCAGATACACTGCTCGCTCCTCCACAGTTTTTTTGGGCTCCAAAAAAAAACAAAATAGCGATGGCCAAAATACCAAACCAAGGTCCATAAACCAATGGGTGGCGTCACGGTGGTTATGTCCATTATTTATGCAGTCTATAGGTGTAATGAAAAGATACTATGCATATATGTCACAAAAATATCTGTATAGGTGTCTGTATTTGTAACAACTTGTCTAATGCTGCTTCATTTTTTGCATTAAATAGTTTTTCATTATCATTTATACACTTCATACAACATATGTTGTGCTGCCAAAATAGTAACCACGTATCTGAATCCATCTAATTACAGAATACCATCTCTCCTTGTTAGTATAGAGGACAGCATCTCTGCCTGTCACATGTAACAGGTGTTCAATACCCTGACGACAAGTATATGAAGTGTATTATGTTGTTTCAGTATTTTACTTTTTATAGAATGAGAGGTTAGTGGAAAAACACCACTCAAAATGGGACTGGGCCATACTGCATGATTTTCTTTAAAATGTTAGGAGGGCCAGATTCATGTTAAGTTTTCCTGAAGTGTCTGAAATGAGAAAGCTACAACTGCGTAATTAAAAAAAGTAGATTGTGCGTACCCTTTTGAGACGGTCCCTAACTCCTCAGCTTACCGCTTTATATCAAGTCACGCACAGCCATACATCATTCAGTAACAGATACATCTGCTCTATTTAACAATTTCATATTCCATATGATCCCTATAAGCATCTGAATTAATGACAGCTGATGTCATCCCGTCATTAACCCAGTTTGTGTGATTTTGCACAGGCATCTGATCTACTGCATCTGTGACCTGCTGCTGGAGTTTCTGATCCCTGAGTCGTGCGACGAGGCCTTCCAGAGGTCTCTGCTGCAGAGCCTGGCCAAAGACGCAGAGAGGGACAATCTTCACACATGATCAGCACATGATAGCATGTACTTCACATGGATAATGTGCGGCACATGTGTATGAGGGTTATTTATAATGGCCCAGAGTCACTAGAGTCAGCAGGGTGATGGCACAAGATAGCAGCAGCCATTACCTGATTGGCCCGCGGTAACAGAGAGCTCATAAAACCTCCTTCCTCGTGACTTGCTGTGACATAAAGAGGAGAAAGACGAGGATTGTGTGAATATTTCTGAAACACCTAAAGGGGAAACATCAGAGGGAAACAGCTGATTGTACTCAACTACTGCTCTTATGTGCAATGTGCTTATGAAGGATCTACTGCGAACACTGCATTAATAAATAGACAAAACACGCACAGGGTCTGAAACTATTTCTTGTTTTTATAGATGCATTTATTTATTAATTCACTGAGATCTTGTTTTAAATGTTGCAAAAGCTCTCCATAGAGCCTGGAGAAATTGAAATAATGTATATATATTTATTTATTATATAATGTATTGCATTGGCATTTGTGGTGATGTTTTAATATGTCCCAATATGCTTTTACCCGACTGTCCGTGGGAACTGTCTCAGAAAGAATAAATTAGTCAGGCCTCAATATTAAAAGCACTACATGTGAGAAAAAGATTTGACTCATGTTCTTTCAGTGATTCACCTAAAGTCCCAGACTGAAATCGCATCAATAAAAAGTGACTTAACATAAGTGAGTGCAGGCAGTGTTAGTCTTCCCATGATCTTTTGACCAGCCTTTGAAAAGTACTCGCTGCTTCCCAGACCATCTCTTTGATGAGGCTATAATAGTGCGGGAGATTAACACCTCACTGCCTGACTTATGAAACCATGGTGAAAGATGTTCCTTTTATATTTGACCTAAGTGGCAGATTAAGAAAAAAACGAGGAGCAAAAATCACCAGCGCCTATGAAGTGTTTCCATATGGCAACGTACCATAGCAACAGATGTATGAACAAACGTTCTCTTATTTATGTGCTTATTCAGTGTTTGCTCTCATTTTGTTCATACCTATTTATTTCAGGGATTCACCAATCTTTTCTCATTTTTGCCCTTAGGTAAGAGACAATTTTCAGATGTACTTTTACTTCAGTATTTTAACGTCATGCCACTGTCTACTTCTTCTTCACCACACCTCAGAGGGAAATATTGTACTTTTTACTCCATTAGTTATTTGATAGCTTTAGCTGCTAGTTACTTTACAAATTTCGATTTTTGCACACAAACCATATAAAAAATATACAAATGCGGCAGAAACCATTGACTGATTAGAAAAGTGTCTATCAACTATTTTGATTATCATTAAAGTCCTTTGTCAAGCAAAAACATTTTATGATTTCAGCTTCTCAAATATGAAGACTTGCTGCCTTTCCTTAGTTAGTAATTTTGATTTTTAAAATTTATCTTAACTTTTCTGCATGAGTACTTTTACATTTAATACTTAAATACAGCCTCCTTATTGCACTTAAATACTTTTACTTAAGTAACATTTTTATGCAGGACCTTTACTAGTGTTTTTACAGTGTGGTACAAGTACTTTAACTTTAGTAAAGGACCGAAGTAATTCCTCCATCACTGCTGCTGACACAAAATTTTATGCATCACAGAAGTGTCATTGCTGAGCTTTTGATTTTCCTGTAACACCAGCTGACACTCTGGAATATTACGTTTACTTTTACTTAAACTGTTAAGTTTACTTAACAGTACGTGGATTTCTGAAGTTCTTCTTCTTACAGCCTCTTTGGTGACATCTCAGTTCATCTGCAGTTCTTGGACATGAGCCAGAGTTTTTGCACACAGCACAACACCTGCCATTTTAAAGTGTTTAGAGGGAGTTACCTATGCCACTATGATCAAGTGGAATTCATCACTCAGCACACCTGGGTAAGAGCAGATTTGGATGGTTAAAAAAGGTTTCGTGCATCTGGAGTTGACTTCTCTTATTTTCTTCTCCGAACAGAAATTAAAATATATGGAAAAAATATGTGTACATGGTTTATTTATTCATTCATTCATTCATCTTCTAACCGCTTCATCCTCTTGAGGGTCGCGGGGGGGCTGGAGCCTATCCCAGCTGACATCGGGCGAGAGGCAGGGTACACCCTGGACAGGTCACACACTCACATTCACACCTACGGACAATTTAGAGTTACCAATTAACCTAGTCCCCAATCTGCATGTCTTTGGACTGTGGGAGGAAGCCTGAGTGCCCGGAGAGAACCCACGCTGACACGGGGAGAACATGCAAACTCCGCACAGAAGGGCTCCCACGCCCGGGATCGAACTGGCAACCCTCTTGCTGTGAGGCGAGAGCGCTAACCACCACACCACCGTGCCGCCCCATGGTTTATTTAATTTTTATTATATTTAAATCAATGTATTTTTGTCTCTCAGGGCCTTTGTGCCATATATGCCAAGGCAAAGCTCAGGAGGGCCCTGGGTTTTAACAGATCTGGGGAAAACTGCATTTCCCCACTATGCACAAGGCTATTCAAGAGAAGGCTGAGACACGGGATCAAACATGGGGGGACTGCACATGCACAGTGTAACTTGAGCTGCGATGCTGGAGGGTGACAGCAGGGGCACTAGATAAAAAGCACAGGATCCGCTCAGGCGATCAAGGAGTGCGCTTGGTGCGGTCTGCTTGGACTTTTGGACAGCGGATGCCTGAAGTTGTCGGAATTGCATCTCTGTCATTCTCACCCACAACGCAGGCCACCAGTGACAGTCCAATAATAAGCTGTGAAAATGACATACATGCGCATCCCCCTTATTCCGCGGTCTCACGCCATCTACTGAGCCTTTGAGGAAGTGCAGACCAGATTTTACTGCGCATGTGCAATCCCCCCATGTTTGACCCCGTGTCTCAGCCTTCTCCTGAATAGCCTTGACTATGCACCATGGACATGGAACAGTCTTCAAAAAGATCTAATATCAGAAACCCTTATATCCATTGATGAATTTAAGGGCATCGTAAAGAATGTGGTGATAGAGACATGTTCATGCCACTATGTTTGAATAGTTGTTGTTTTATTTTTGTGTTATATGTTGTATTTGTTGCATTTTAAATGTGTTTTGATTGTCTGCTACCTCGGCCAGGTCTCTGTTGTGAAAGAGATGTTCAATGTCAATGGGACTTCCTGGTTAAATAAAAATAAAATAAAATAAAAAGGAGTGGACATCAGATTAGCCCTTCCTAATCAAAGAAGGGTGTACTGTGAATATTTTTCTGGACATGTCATTGGTGTTTCCTGGCTAATTGAAAGTGCAATATCAGTGTGGGCGGAGTTAACCTTTAACCTTTGACGCTACCTGTGATAAACGTGCATGGCTGTACACACGCGCTGGTACAGGCTGTAGTCAAGTGCCTCCAGGAGTTGATTAACTGTGAGATTAAAAAATTGCTCATTAAAGCAAATATCCACTACAAGATATTTAAGGAACCGCTTTTGGAGGAGGAGGAAGCACGTGAAGCCAGTGAGAATTTGACTGACTTTAGTCTAAATGAAGCAAAAGCCAAACTTCCAGTGACCTTGCTCTATGAAGCGACGGGATTAAAATGCCTTTCTGGTCACTGGGACAGATGTGAGATTCATTGGATTAAGATGACATCATCTCCATATTCAAGCCACGTCATGTGAGATGGCAGCGACTTCCCTCACAGGCCACTCACGGTAAGTTGATACTTTTACACCTGTCATATCCGTTAAATGATAAATACCGTTGTCATTAATAATGGATGTGAAGCAGTCACTGTAGTTGCACTTGACTTTTGAGATTGCTGTGTTTGCTTTGCATTCAGAGCAGTTAAACTAATGTTTTTTGTTTGTTTTGTTTTGGGGTTTTATGCTTCCTATGAGGACGTGTGTAAGCTGCTTGATGGTGTTTCTTTAGGTTTGGTTGCTTTGTCTTTCTTTGTTGTTTAGGTCTTCACATCTTAGCTCTCATTTACTACTCTACAAGCTTGTTCATCTTAGTGATGCCTGCCATGTGCATGTTAGAGCCTATTGTGTGAAGCCTGTGCTCATGATCTGGTTAAAATTGATAAATGTAAGACAGTTTCTTTTGTTGTTTTGTGGGATCACCTCAGTACTTTGGGATAGCAGGATGCTCTTTGAAAATGTTGACTTTGAAAAGCAAACCAAAGATAGGCACATCCATTTTTCCCTCAGGCCTGCCCAATTGTTCTGCTCATACATCTGGTAACACATGATCGGCTTTAAAGGACAACTTAGGTATTTTTCAACCTGGGCTCTATTTCCCCATGTGTATGTGTGCGTATGATTCATAGGTACAACTCGTTTTAAAATTGGTTCAGTATTGAGGGAGGCGGATGCAACCGGAGCCGCGAAACGAGCTAAAACGGTAGATATGGGGGCAAATGCGTCCCATATAAGTTTGCACATTAAAAGTGCTTTTTTTCGCCACTGACCGGTTCAGATCGCCAGTGCTATGAGTGGAGTCAGCTGTCAGTGAGTATGTGTGTATGAAGTGTGTTTTTTGCCACTGACCGGTTCAGATCGCCAGTGCTATCTCTGTACATAGCATACTAGCCTTTCCCTTACCTCTGGGCTGTGTGATGTCACGAGCTTTGCTCCACTGTGTCTGTAGCTCTCTCTACTCATGGGACAGCCGTTTTCTTGAGGAAGAGGTGTTTCAGGATTGGATGTCTTCTCTTCTTCGGCTGGCAGTAGTCATCTTGGGAGAAGTGAGCACTGCAGACCCGATGGTCTGCAAGGCGCAGTGTCTGGAGAGGAGTGTTAGCATCCATTTGTAGCACAACTAGCCACAACTTCAGCATCTTGCCGTCCGACAAAGGCAGCCTATGAAAGCTGTAACTTACGGGGTGTTGCGCGACATCCTGTTCTTGCGTTCGGGAAAAAGGACCGTTTATTTTGAGCGCTCCAAAAACTCTGGTAACACTCCAGGGGGTAGCACGTAAAAGACTCCGTCCCAAACTCTGACTCTTCTAGCGTAACACACACACTTCATACACACATACTCACTTACAGTACCCAGCGGGGACGCCCTCCCCCTCTCTGCTCCAACACTGACTGACAGCTGACTCCACTCATTCACAGTCACCACTGCCCCAGGGCCGCTACAATATGCTATCTACAGAGATAGCACTGGCGATCTGAACCAGTCAGTGGCGAAAAAAAGCACTTTTATATGGGACGCATTTGCCCCTGTTACCGTTTTAGCTCGTTTCGCACCTCAATACTGAACCAATTTTAGAACGAGTGGTACCCATGAATCATATGCACACATACACATGGGGAAATAGAGCCCAGGTTGAAAAATACACAAGTTATCCTTTAATGACTATGGATTTACAGGATTGT